TGCAGGCACTTGTAGCAAATGTAGCACTGCCAGTTGTCGTTGGAGATTCTTAGTCCTCCTTTCCGTTCTTTCAGTCGCTTTACGTATACGTCGACTTTCCATGTCCATTCTTGTGAAACCCGCGAGACACAACAAACACAGCTCCGATCACAGCGTTCTCCATCCTCCTGTTGTTAATGTTGTTCTTCTTTGTTTCTGTTGTTGAACACCGCGCACGAATGACGTCGCTGTCGACACGTCACTTAGTACACACTCTCGGTGCGAACGCAACCCTTTAAATGGTACTGAGAAATAGTTCCCGCAAAATCGTCCCAGTACTTTAGTACTGTCCATTTAGTTCTGGAACTAAAGCGGTGCGAAAGGCCCTACTAATTCTGTGGACAAGTGACCGATTTCAGCCGCGGCTTCCGTGTCTATTTTAGTGTAGGGGGCGGGGCTTCGGATTCTAGAGAGCATTTGATTGGACAGAAAGTTTGATGAGAAGCTGAAGTACGATGTGACGTCAAACAAATCGCTGAGCCGTTTTGGCGGAAGTGACGAACTGCAAGCTTTGAATGCTTATATCTTCTAAATGCGCATTTTGTCACTGTTTTGGAGCACACTGCCTTATAGATAATCTTAAGACTAACATATTGATACTAACACCCAAAAAACTTAAATTTTGATTTCATGGGGACTTTAACCCTTCAACTGTCACCGTACCACCAGTGGGACGTTTGGAGCTGTTTTTTTTTGGGGGGGGGGGTTTTCCTCTATCAAATCTTTTTGTAATCATCATAAATCATATATCATTTGAAAGCTTAGAAGCCCAAGATTCATCCCGTGAAAACCATTTCGAAATCAGACATTGCGTTACCATGGAAATGGCACTTTAAAATCTTTTGGCGGTCTCCTCCCCCTTAGTGGGCGGTGTCAAGTGTCATATTACAAAATGCGTTACGCTCTTTTAGAATCAAAACCTTCTATAATCTTGACAAAAAACATATAATTGGAAAGTCTGAGTCTCAGGATTCCATATTTGGTGGTTATTTTAAGATAGAAGTAATATTGACAGAGAAATCTAGACATTTGTGACAGGAAAATGCATTAAAAAAAAATGTAATGGAGTTTGGACAGCACCCGGTGGCTGTTTGTGGTATAACTCCCTAAATAAAATCTCACAGGAACCTCCATTTTTTTCATATCAACTTCAAATTTGGAACATAACTTACTTAGACATAAGGCTATAATTTTATACCAATTTTAGAGTAAAACCTGATATGTAAAATATGTATTATATATATAAAATAAAATTAATATAGTGCATTTTCTTTACAGTCAATTTAAACTACTATAACTTTTTGATACATACATTTTTGAAAAAATTTCCACTTTTGCAATAATTTGCGGATTTTCTTCTTTAAAAAGAGACCAACCGTATGTCTGTATTCCAAAGTGTTCATAAAATTACAACAAATTTAAGTTTGGACAGTGCACCTGCACGCCTACTTTAATAAATGGGGGGTGACAGTTAAAGGGTTAAGGTTGCCGATGGACTCACTTGATCTTTCTGAACTCGTCACAGTCGCACAGGATCAGGTTCATGTGTTTGTCGAACGCTTTGAACGTGCCGATGAAGATCCGGCCGTCCTGCAGGATACAGCGCATCCGGAAGTCGATGTGCTGCAACATCTTACTGCTCTTACCCACCGTCTGGAAGACAAGCAAGAGTTAAACACAACATTACAGATACACATGCATCACACTGACCAGCAGACACTGGTAACATAGGACTTTTATTTTGCAATGTACCCTGTTCAAGGTACACAAGTTACTCTTACTGTCCATTGTGCTTTGGATGTTTATTTTTATTATAAATAGTTATGGTTAATACCTAAAGCATGCACATCTATTTATTAGATAATAAATAAATCAAAGCACTTATTGACCACGACGGAAACAATCGGAGAGCAAAATAAAAGTCTTCTTCCTGATTGCGTTGCGCAGCTAACCCGCTTATTCTTCCCCACTGGAGCAGACAAATAACGTAAACAATAGACTTAAACTCCTAAAAAATGTGCTGCAAAACATAACTCATACTAGCATAATTATGTAATCATATAAAATGGTTTAAATCGATCTCTGTGCTACAAAAGCAAACAAACGCTCACCATTATATCATTCTCCAGACTGGATTTTTAGAGAAAGGTTCCTGCATTTTGTTTCAGAAACAAACTATCATTTCTAATGCGTTTTAAATGCCTGATTGTATTTGTTTTCGGCCGCTAGCCGATCGCTAGCGCTAAGCATCAACAACGTAATGATAACGAACCCAGTTTGAACTCATAATCTTCACTAAACAGCAGAAATATTAAGGTAGTTGTTTAATCGTACACTAATAAGACAAATAGCGAAGTCTTACCATGGTTGCTGTTCGGATGGCTCCGATTAATATCGGATTCTGCCAAACTAGTTTTAAAAATTGACCCGCAAACCGCCGCTGAGTCCTTTAATGGAGGCGAAGCGGAAAAGAGTGCGACGCGACGGGAGTCCGACCGGAAACACGGAACACGATCTAAACTGTCCGCTTCCGTCCGCTGCTCCTTCTGTGTGTACATTGTACGAAAAAAAAATATATATATATATATTTTTTTAATCAGGCTTCTTTTAGCGAAATAAAAAAGAAATACAAAATACGATCACAGAGAAAAGGAATAATATAAGTGAAAAATAAATCACTCAGTCTTGATTATTTTTTATGTGAATGTAGTAAAGATTATAATGTTAATCAATATTAAAATAATAATATTACTATTAATTTATTTATAGTAATTTAATAATATTAGTCTAATATGTGAGCCTGGAGCACAAAAGCAGTGTTGAGTCGCTGGGGGATATTTGTAGCAATAGCCAACAATACATTGTATGGGTCACAATTATACATTTCTCTTTTATGCCAAAAATCATTAGGATATTAAGATCATGTTCCAATGAAGATATTTTGTAAATCTCCTACCGTAAATATATCAAAACTTAATGTTTGATTAGTAATATGCATTGCTAAGAACTTCATTTGAACAACTTTAAAGATGATTTTCTCAATATTTAGATTTTTTTGCTCCCTCAGATTCCAGATTTTCAAATAGTTGTATCTCGACCAAATATTGTGCTATCCTAACAAACCATACACCAATGGACAGCTTATTTATTCAGCTTTCAGATGATGCATAAATCTCAATTTCAAAAAATTGACCCTTATGACTGGTTTGGTGCTCCAGGGTCACATACAGTATATCGTCTTTTTTCACAAAAAAATAAAAAACGAGAATTGCCCGCAACAGAACACTGAATATTCTAAGCAACATATTATTTTAACAATAATAAAGGTACTTTACTATTATCAGTTTATTACTATTTATTATTATACTACTTTATTTCCATTACAAGACATTTTTATATATTTATTAATTGTATTTTTTTTCTCTAAATAACCTGCTGAATAAACTAATAATCTAATTGAACAGAATCTACTGTTCATCAGCATGCATCGCTTTTATATTTAGAAAAATACTTCGGCAAACTGGTAATCTTAGACGTACAGAATAAACGAGAATAAAAGAAGCAATACATTTTTAAATGAATTTAGTTTATTCCTTCAGCTGAGAATAAATTGGTATTTTTATATTAATCATCCAACTGTACACATTCACTTCAGAAAAATAAATAGAATTCAAATCATTAAATCCAGCCTAATTGATGTTAATATGCTGTAGATCACAGGCTAAGTGTTGCATGGTTTACAGTGTTAAGAAAATAAAGAGTAGCTGTAAGACATGAGAACACGTAACATCAGGTGTGAGGCGTTTAGCTGGACGCTTTCCATCTCTGACCTGTATTTGTCAGGTCACTTTAAATCCAAACAATCTGGTAATTAGAAAATATGACCTAAAATAAAGTGCAAAAACAGCCGACGCTAATCCAATCACCCACGATCTGTACTCATCCGCTGAGGAAAACCGATCACTGAGAAACTAAAAACCCTGTTAAAGAGTCACTCGTGTTGGAAAGAAATGCATATGACTCGTACCACATAAGAAACGCTTTGCTTTACTCCACTTTGATAACCGGAAGTTATTGTTTGTACCTTAGTATTTACAGTCCTGGTTTTGTGTTTTGCATCTGAATAAGAAGCCAAATCTTTGAAATAAACAGAATAGGCACGATTTCAGTGCTAAATCTTCAGCATAACAACAAATGATGTCAACCAAAAGCTCGAAAACACACACACACCTTATTTTCCACAAAATAAAGCACATTTTCTTTAGGTTTGCACTAATTCCCCCCACAAATATTGTGATTCTTTCACATTAAAGGTATAAAAGGATCAAGATTTCTAGCTGCAGGTTTGATCATATTAAAATGGCTAACATTATAGCGTCAGTCAAGTGGTTTGTGAGTTCAAGATTGAGGAGAAAGTGAATATTTTAATTATGTGGCGATGGCATTTTTGGGCTATTGCTTTATGTTTATCCAACCATATGTGCATATATATATATATACACACACACTCTTACTAAGCATTTCTAGGTCAGAGCTCACCCGAAATCAAAATAAATTATATTTTGCATGAAGAACATAAAGCCCATTCTTTGCAGCTATTTTTTTTTTCAGTTAGAGAATGAGATTTTCTTGCATCACAAGTTAATTTGAAAAGGAAAATGTGCTTGATTTTCATGAAAATCATGTAAAAACTATACATTTTCTTCATGCAAAATAATATTTCTAATTCTCTTGATTTTGAGGTGAAATGTGACCTGCTGCATGTTTCATATTAGCTGTTATCACTCTGCCAGTAATAAAGTGCAACCTTTTTCAATTGGTAAACCCATGTTTGCATGAAGGTACAGATCTGCAGTGGCAATACAAACCATATGAAATTGCGTCTTGCACTCCTCTGTACATGTACGCACAACAGATGAGACTCATTCAGACACATACCATGCAAAACTCAATTGAACTTCAAGTTCTAGAGGAAAAGTCTGTTGCATGTGCATTACTACAGTAGAGACGGGTGGCAGTCATGAACAGGTTAATACGAGGGTCACACAGTGTGCATAGAGTGAGCCGAGGGGCGCTGCATTGCTGTGCATCCATCATCGACTAAGGCAGCGTAAAATCAGAAGAGGATGGTAAGAAGACCTAAGCTAATGGATACAGAGCGTTTCTCCCTCGTAGCAGCACCAGTTTGATATGACGGTGAAAGCGGATGGAAAGTGTGCATGCATCACTCCTGACCAAAGCCTTCCGTTTCCTCGATGGCAAACAGCAGCTTCTCCTTTAGCTGCTCGAAGCTTTTATAGGGCGGCAGATCCAGACGGTTAAAGCTGGTGGGGTGAAAAATCAAATAAGCACTTAAAAAGCTGCACAGCCCTGCATGCTGATATTGCCTAATGTGATAATGCTGCGTTCAAAAGTATCAATACAAACTTTCCATCATGTATAGTTGTTTAACAATATAATGAAGATGTTTCAGAGTATATACAAGTATCAGCTTTAAAAAAAAAAAAAAGATATCAGTATAAGGCATAAAATAATGTCTTCAGAATCATTCATGCATGGGTCAAAGACGTTAAGATGTCCGCATCAAAAGAAATGTACAAAAGTGATTTTATGTCCATAGAAAGCACATTGAATGTAAGTAAAGTGCCTACTTTTAAGTTTTTGGAGAATAAAGTGTAAAAATTTGGTTGAAATAATGTTACATTGTCATTCAGTGTAACACAATATTTATGTAAAAATTCAAACTACATGCTTATACATATTAAAATATATAAAAGAATAAGTGAGCATATTAAATTTTATTGTGTTTTAAATGAGTAAAAATTCTTACTGACAAACGGGCAAAAACCTAGGATAGTGGCAAATTTTAAAAATGATTATTATTTGGGGTGGAAGTAATTAGTCTTTTAATATGTCATAAATTGATTTTTGTTGTAAATATGCCTGACGAGATTGAATGACATTTTAGTGGGTCTCTTCTGTAAATCAGGGAAGAACGTATGATATTTATTTTTTGCTCGGAAAAACAAAAACAAAATTGCAATTCAATTTTACTTTTTCATTTTGGGGGGAGAAAAACAACAACAATTTAAAGCAGTATTACACTTATTGTTTTTACGCTTAACCCCTTTTTCGTCTTTGACCCACATGTGAAAATGGGCTGAGAATTGAACAAATGGTTGTAATCTGGTTTAGAGGAAGAAAGGAATCGTGTTTGTGGTGTTTTTCTGTTGATTAAGGGAGAACACAAGACTTCTTCATTGCACAAATGGTTGTCTAAAGCAAAAAATGCTACAGAGTGCATCGTATCTAGTGAGAAAGCTGAGACCTGCTGGAGCTAAACAGCATCCAAAATGAGTAAGAAATGCAGGATTTCATGCAGATGCTGCAGGGCAGTCTCACTGACTAGAAGAACGTTATGTTTTTAGCTTGAAGACTGTAAATGATTTCATCTATATTTTAAGGAGGTCTGCAGAAGTGAATGAATTGCACACTGGTCATTTTTGTTCGACGCAAAACCATCTGCCACAACAGGTCATATCTGCTTTAATGCACAATGCAATTTCCATATACTATATACATATAAGCTTAATTCTTATTACTGTCAGTGTGAACAGGCCTTTAGTGAGTGAGTACAGTAACAGTACGATAATCAAATATGATTTCTGATCTTACCATGTGTGGCTCCTTGGCAGCCAGTTTTCTTTTCCCACTTTCTCAATACAGAACTTTTGCGGCCCATTGCTCCCTACAGAAATCACAACATACCTTCTGATCAAAAACATATTCTTTGAAGTGCAAGAGAACGTACTGGCATTGCATTTAAACCAATAGGCTGTGCAGGCATACATGCAGAAGAATAAGGGGAAGATACTATTTCATTGTGATGAATTTTGAATACCTAATTTTATATATCTACTTGAAGTTCCCCAAAGATTTTAAGTTCAAATTTCAAAAACATTTAAAAACACTCTTAACATGTTCAAGGTTTGATGATGTTAATATATTGGTTACATGTCTATGGCCTCATTTACACCTGATATTAACAGCAGACACAAAATATAGTTGAAAATGTCTTGTGACATTTGGAGCTCAGAGATGCATTTGTACAGAAAAGGCCTTTGAATGTTATGAAGTGTAGTTTGTACCTCCAGCTCTTTGGCATCAAAGTATTGCAGGTACTGCTGCGGCAAGACCTCATTAAAGCCCTCGAGAAACGCCTGAGTCTGTTCCTCGACCCCTCTGGACAGCCTCCACTCAGCAACCAACCTGCAACACGTTTTATTCCACAATCACGCACTGATATTATGGCTAATAGTGCTGTAACTATATGCTGTTTGTCAAGATGAAAATAGACTTATTATAATTATTTTATTATATAAATCATAATCATTAAAAAATATATTTTTAACAATTTTCAAAAATGAATCAATCTTTAGCATTTTCATTAGATATTTTTACAGTCCTAGTGGCTTTTTTCGTAAGAAAAAATTTAAATTATATTTATATAATATTATTATTTATTTATTTTAACATATTAATTATAATAATTATAAATTATATTTATTATAACTTAACATTTAACATAATATTCTGAATTATCTATATAATTATATAATGTCATTATTGTATGCAATAAATGTAATTTTATATCGATATATATCTATGTGTATCTCTCTCTCTACATATAAAGCAGCTACATTTATTTGTAAATATACAAAATATTTTAATTATTATAATAATATAAATATATATATTACATATACAAATAATTAGAAATATTTATAACTAATTTATAATTAAAAATATTTATAATACATATTAATTTATTTAATGTTTAATTATAGAAATAATAATTATATATTATGTCATTATTATAT